TTTTTAATTATACAAAAATATGTCTAGAATAGATAAGATAACACATATCTATCATGGTTCCTGACCATGGTAAAAGGTGTTCACTAAATGTTTATTGAATGAATGAATCAATCAGCATTAATATCATATTAAGCTACATTGAGCATTTCATTTTTCTTTGATCATTCACAATAATTCCTACAGGTAAAATGTAGCAAAGTACAAGTTAAGAGATTGCTCCTTGCTTGAATGCTTAAATGACTTAAGTGTTTATTCCATTTCATATCTTTGTTTTTTGGAATGTCACTGGCTAAACTGTGCTTTCTGTTTTATGTTACAGTGTCCTCATCCTTCATTTCTGTTGACTTCCTCTTTGGGTTATTACATATTATTTTCTTGAACTTAAATTCCTTTGGTTGATCAGTTAACATCAATGTGTTTTGGTTTGGTTTCTGCACCTATAAAATTACCACTTTATCATGTACCAAGATTGTCTGTCCTTCAATCCATTTTTCTCTGTCTAGACATTCAATAAACATATTTTGATTGTGGTGATATTATTTGAGTCATATTTCTTTATCAATGGTTACTTTGTTTTCCTTTTAATCCAATACAGAGGAAGTAACCACCAAAACAAACAAACAAAACAACAAAACAAGTTACAGTGTGATCCAGACTGTACAAATGAAAGTTATTCCCTCAATATTAAAACTGCATGTTATTTCTGCATGGCCTCAGAAGGGTTGGAAAATGCAGCTCATAATTTAAAAAAAAGTAAAGTTTCATCAGAGAAAAAACAAATAAGGCAAAAATAAAGACAAAAATGTCAACATTCCAACTGAAAATATCCCTCGCTAATACTTATCAAGCTGCTAATGTTTTCCATTTTACGGTTCTTTTTTGAATATTCAAGTATTTGCTAGTCAAGTCTATTATTAAAGCCAAAAACTCCTCCTAAAACCATTGAGAAATCAAAATATTTAAACCAACTAAAATGATTTTATTTTTCCTAAAGAGAGGAAAATGAAAACTAACTCTCATGGAAGAAAGTTTTCTCTTTTGATCATATGTTTATTCCTCATTTTCTCTGTAAGAGATTTTCAGTTGTGGTTTTCAATCACCAGAAACCTACCTTTATAGAAAACCAGCAGAATTATCTCCAGAATCAACTGGGCAGGAGACCGACACAAAGCCAGGGTTTGGAGTCATTTTCCTGAGCAAATTAAAAAGAGGTACCATTTTAGTCAGTTACCTTGTGAGACTGCTCATGTTTAATTACATTAGTGGCACTTGACATTATAAAATGTTCTTTTCTTTCAAATATAACCTTCTATCATTATTAGTAAATGTCAAATGTAGTGAAGTATTTTTCTGACTTCTTTTCCTTCTTGATACAGGTGAGAAAATGTGAATGAGTTTGTAATCCTGAAATTGTTTTCAATACCCCAAACCAGTGCATAGCCAACATGGTGTCAGTGTATTAACTTAGTTTTTACTCTTTTTCTTTGCCTTTGGAGAGGAAATATCCTCTTTGTATTTAGTTCTACATTGGTGCAGTTTCTTACTCTCCCTGAGAGCATTTATGTGACAACGATCTCCAATTAGATTGTGTTTCTGGGTTCAAATCAGAATGGTGTGGAAGGTCCTGTCTCTGGCTGTGCCTTAAGTGCTGTCTAAATGCTTCTATTTTTTTTTTTCTTGAAAGCTGTTTTTGTCCCCTCTCTCTACTTTTAAATTTTGCTACATGATGGCTATCTTACCTTATGGCTTCCTGTAACATTTCAGTCATACTCTAGTGGGGCCTTGATTACTGCTCTCTCAAAAATTAAATACACTATCAGTGTGAAATTGATGTGTTCTATAGCACTAGAACTAGTTTCTTTTCTGTCAAAATAAAATTAACATCTTATGAAAGGGGAAGCCGTCGCTGAGGAGGTCAGGAAGAAAGGTAATGTCCTAGTTTTCTGACACAACACTGTTGAGTGCCTATGTTGAAGACGTGCTTGACAGGACGGGTCTGGGTCACCTTTTAGCAGTGCCTCTGCTGTATTGGCTGTGTTCTTCTATTGAGAATTTAAGGCAAAGCTGCCTATTGTACAGAGAGGGCAGCAGCAATGGGGTCCTCAACCTGTCAGAATGCTACTCAATCAATGCCAGAAAGATATATTTACCAAGAGAAGAAGGAAACCATTCAAAATTAGTTCACAGTAGGAAAAAAAAGGTAAATGTATAGATACAGGTGTTCTGTGGAAAATATGAACCCAAGTTAAATGTGGGAAAGTCTTAAAATAGAATGTCTAAAGCTATAAGGGGTTCTATTTCCCAGACAGCTAAAATATATTACACAGTCTCTGATTATACTTTGTTTTTGAAACATGGTCTTTGGGAATTTGTTCTGTAACTTTCTTCCTTATTTCACACTTGGATGTACTGCTAACTGAATTAAATCCAACGCATGTCCAAGCATATCCAAATAAGCTCAAGACTGGCTTCT